TTTAAAAAAAAGAAAAGAAAAATATTACTGAAAGAAGAGTCTGTTATTATGTTAAATGTTCCTGCTATCTCCACTATGGACAAAAATAACATTGGCTACTTTAGTCTTACATCTTACAGGACTACCTAAAATTCTCATTCTGTCAATGCCCCCTAACTAAAGCATCAGTGTCTATATCCTCATATCCAATATACTTCAATAGTGGTGTTGTCTTCGCAAGGCAAAATATTGTAAGCCAAATCATTCCAAAAGTTCTTATCTCAGTCTATACTAATCCTTATGCTACAATATTGTAACTCTTCCAACAATATTGTAGACATCAAATCTTACATATCTGCTTCTATTAACATCAGTGACAAAATTTTTGAAACTGATGCCTTCCATGATCAAAATTCAGCATCCAAGAAAACATTTATCAAGTTCCCCACAATTATATCTAATGAAGATAATGAATCAAATTTCTATTTAATAAAAGAAATAACTAAGGCTTCTGGAGTGAAAAAACACAGCTACTGAACTTGAAGTGAGTCACCATACAGAAGAAATATAATAGGAAACTATACAGCCATCCAAGCGGAAACAAAACTGATACAATGAAACCGTCAGACAGGTCATCCAAGCTTTCTCAGACCCTCAGATTTCTTCCTAGTTAAATCTGTTCTTCCTGAAACTATGGCTAGGAACTCAGATTTTCCCTTAGAAGAAATTACCACTGTTAATAATGAAGAAACCTTACCTTTTGCTGAAATTGATTTTTGTGGGGTTTTTTGTTTGTTTTTAGTGTAAGAAAATTCTCCATTCACATTTAATATAGTCAATGTCAGGGCAGCAAATACTAAATTTCAAGCCTCTGATAGTACAAATATTATTCCTGAATCCATTGTTGAGATAAAAATAATAATAACTTTTGCACCACAAGCTAACAAGAAAGTTGAAAAAAACAAGTTTAATTTTTGCTTTGATATTCCTCAGTTACAAGAAAAGGAAAAAATTATTCCAAAAGATATAAATAAAGTAAACATAAAGGTCATGACTGATGATGTTGCAAAGACCAGAGAACTTGGAAACAAAGGAATCATGACCACACAGCACCACCAATCCTTCCTTAGTCCTGAATCAAACATCCCAAACACGGAAAAGAAAGAAGGCAAATATGTGACTGTTGACAATTCTTAAAGTATAATTATTCTTCTTACTGTTTCTGAAAATGGGAATCTTTTTGTGAATCAAGATATTGAACATTAGACTTCTTCTCTGACTAAATATTTATATAAATATTATATTTACTAAATATTTATAATCAGCTCAATTAAGACTAAAAAAGTTTTCTCCAATGAATTTATAAAATCTAAAGAGATAAAAAGAGAAAAAGAGAGCAGATATACTTTTTCTGAAACAAGAACTATAGCATCTATAGGAGAGACCAATTGTCTACCAGTTCTTGAGTTCTTTTAAAATTGCACATGACATTTCTTCTGATGAATATTAAGGTGTTCTCAACACAAACTCTCAACAGTGAGCAGCACTATGATGTTAAAATTTCATAAATTTTTGTAAGGGTGCTTTTCACAGACAAGTATTCATGCAAACATAAATGTTCCTTCCTAATATCTTACTTAGATGATTTCTATCACTACTAGCAAATTGCACTTTTTCATATAAGAATAAAAATAACCTTTAGTCGTGAACCTGAAGAAGTTACTACTTAAAGTACAATCACTGAGCCAAATACCCCAAAATTGGATCGAATAAAGACAAATATCAGTTATGCAAGCATTGTTACAGCTGCCAAAATAAGGAAGATAGATACTATTAGATTTGTCAAAAGATAAAATGTTAATACCTTCCTGAGAAAAACACAAGGTTGATCAATTGGGATGATAGACAATCCAGCAGTGGAATACTACTCACTCTATTCAAATAAATAAAATTTATCTATGTAATCTTATTCTTTGTCTTTAATCAGATAAGATCTTTTTTTGGGGGGGGGATCCGGTCATGGGGCCTGAACTCTGGGCTTGGGCACTGTCCCTCAGCTGTTCAGCTCAAGGCTAGTGCTCTACCACTTGAGCCACAGAGCCACTTCCAGCTTTTTTATTCTTGTTTATGTGATGCTGAGGAATTGAACCCAGGGCCTCATGCATGCAAGGCAAGTGCTCTACCATTGAGCTACCTTCCCAGCCCTTTAATCAGATAAGATCATTTATGTTGAGAATTTATATGGCAAAGAACTATATTATTTTTCTTGAAGTAGATTACCCCAGTTTTAACCTCCAGATGTTAAAATTCCTTCAATTCAACCAGATTTTTCACCATATACTTGTGTTTTCATGGATGACACACTCGATCTGAAGTGTCCCCCAAATGATAATGACTTAGAAAGTACAGATAATAGTATTATCAATCTTCTTAGAACTAAATGTTATGTTGTAATCAATGTAGTTCTACCTCACGAAAATAGTAGTAAGTATAGAGCTGATTTGGTCACAAAACCCTGACATTATTTGACAAGGAAGTTGATATAATTATTTCATCTAGCAGAGCTAACTGGTGATATATATTCATAAAAGCAATAATTTTACTCATGGTATCAAATTTATTCAGTATAATAAATATTATGTCTTGCAGTATTGCTTCTAGCAGCTAAACAGCTTACCTCTCCATTCCTTTTGCCTTTGTGTACATAAATTTTCTCCCACTCCCAGAAAACACCAAATTTTATGTGTACAGAGTACATTTTCTGTGTACAGAGTACTCATTATCCTAAATTAAGCTCTATAAACATTAGAAAATAGAGATGAAAACTCTTCCATTAAATTAACCATTTGGAGTATAACTTAACCTTGTCATTTCTACTGCTCTTGGAACTGACATTATTTATATTTAGAAACAAAAAAATTTCGGCTATTACTACTTTTCTTCCTTGTTTCTGATGCATCATTCCATCTGTCAATAAAGACCTTAGCACTTGAAAAGCTGAAGCAGGAAGATCCTGAGTTCAAGCTTGTCCTGAACCATACACACACACACACACACACACACACACACACACACATACACACACACATCAGACACATACACACACCACACACACACACACACCATACACACCACACACACACCACACACCACACACACACACC